AAAAACTGAAATTTTAAGAAATGCTCACAAAATAGGAGCAATCCCAGTCACTATGTATTAAATGCTGCACATAATGTAAAGGCTGTATTCACTGGTCCCTGAACAGAAACAGAAACAAGTCTTTTCCCATATTTTATGTTTTTCCTTAAAATAACTTTTACTGTTTCATCTTTTTCACATTTACTTAGGGATTTCAGAGTTAAATAAAAGCCTAGAGTAGATGGGGTATGTGACCCAAACAATAATAAACAAAAAAAAAATGTGATAGGGAGGGGAGGAAACCTCTAATCACTAGTGGAGGGACACTGAGGTAAAGTTGAGTCTGGAGCGAGAACACTGAATCCTTAAAACTCTGTTCTCAACCGTTTCGTAAATCACCAAGGAAAAAATTATTTTTTCTAGGACAGCTGCAGAAAGGGCAATGGCGATCAACTGAGAGCAGACTATGCAGGCCAGTTCAAAGGGCAGGAGGCTGCCTGGCAAGGCCCAGCAGCCTGGCTGACATCCCCCTGGCAGGTCTGGGCCCGAACAGCACCACCTTGCTGGGCCTGAACACTGGGCTACACAACTGGATCAAGTGCCACCTGGAGTAGCCCCATCTCCTAGTGCTATGGACGCTCCCTCCCCACCCCCGGGGTCCCATCCTACCCACAAAAAAAAAGTAACAAGAAACTATAGGGAAATTTTGTAATAACACTCAAAAGTTGCTCAAAACTACTTGCTGTTGAATTCAAACATGAGAAAATTGCTTTAGAAAAATGTGACCCTTGTCAAGTAGCACCAAAAAAAGAAATGAAAAATAAATGCTAATAAATGGGCAATTACATTCACCTCTTCATTGAGACGGACATTTTTGTCATCTGAGGTACTGTGATGTGAATCTTGTTAATTAGGGTTTCGCCTATACAGTTTCAACAAGACTGATACGATTTGTAATGAGATGACTGCTCTCGGAACAGCTGCCCTGGGAACTTAAGAGGGGCAAATCACGAAAACTCAGGTATTCCTGGACAGCTAAAAACAAATATAAAAGAATTCCAAACATGACTACAAGTCGAATCCGTGTTCACTATGAAATCGGGAACCTCACAGACCATCTGTGGGAAAGCTAACTAATGTGAGCATCATTTGAGACAGGCGCAAGACGGAGAATGCTTTGCCAAGGGGCAAAGCCATTTATTAGACTGTGACAAGCTTTTAAATATCCGCATTACCATTAACCAACTGCCTCCTTCTCCCTTTGCCCACCTGCCGCCTGCAGCCACAGCTATTACGGCAGCAAACCTGGAAGAATCCTAACTCTTAACCAATGGCGCCCTCTTCTGACACTTTTAAAGTAGTGCAAGCACCCAGATCCTGAAGAAATCTCATTTGCACCTGATATTTCCCAGAGAGTTTGACATCTCTGCAGTTCCCTTCATAAACCTAAGTTTATATTTATACACGAAGAACCATCTCATCCAAATTAAGACTCTACCTATGAAATTCCAAGCATTTTATTTATTTTAAACTTATTTCGGGGGAGCTCCCCTGCGTGCCTTGGGCATCTGGAGGACAGTTCTAGGAAAATAGTGCTGCTCAGGTCCGCAGCTGCCAGGAGCCTCCAGGGCACCCAGCCGGTGGTCAGGGGTCACTTGGCAGGGCAGGGTGGAGGGCATCAGTCATATGGTGCCGGCAATCGAATCTGGATCTTGTGCATCCCAGGCATATACAATTCAGCCCTCAGAACTATCCCCCTGCATCTCCGAACATTCTAATCACCTACAGAAATTAGTTGATTTTGTTTCAAGAATTATGACAACAACTAACCTGCAGAGACCTTACTGTGAAGCAAGTACCAAGCACGAATCAACTAGTTAATCTTAATAACTTTTTGAAATAGGCACTGCTATTTTCTTTCCTCTTTTAGATGTGGAAAGTGACAACGAAGTTATTTAAACAACATGTCCAAGAGTATGCACCTGAGAGTTAAAAAAAAAAAAAGAAAGAAAAGAAAAGAAACCTGAAGCTAAAACCAAGTAGCCAGCAGGATCAGAGCTTTAACTATACCCACCCAAAATATGCCTAGGAAGCAGAGCAGAACAAAGCTGCAATTAGAGTAAGATGACATTTTTTGAGAGTGAGAATTGTATGAACTGCAAACACATACTTAAATCTCCAAGTTTTCAAAGTAAACTGTACCAAAGCAAAATGTCAGGCCAGTTTTAGTCATTTCCTATGCTCCCCCACTTGAAGATTTTGTCTTCTGGGTAGCACTGTAGCACTGTCCTCCCACTGTTCATCGATTTGCTCAAGCGGGCACCAGTAACATCTCACAACAAATTGTGAGACTTGTTACTGTTTTTGGCATATCGAACACGTCACGAGGAGCTTGCCAGGCTTTGCTGTGCAGGTGAGATACGCTCGGTAGCTTGCTGGGCTCTCCGAGAGGGGCAGAGGAACCGAACCCGGGTCGGCTGCGTGCAAGGCAAATGCCCTACCTGCTGTGCTATGGCTCTTCTGAGTGGGATGCTTTTACCTCTTCTTTGTATTCACTTTCTTTTTTCCAACCCTGCCCTCACTGAGGTAAGCTTTGAGCCTTTAAAAGGGAGAATCCACATTGTAGGCTTTACTTTCCGTTCATAAAGCAGTACCGATCTATTTCTAATCAAATACTCTACTGAGTACTTTAAAATCGCTTTACATTAAGACATTATAAGTATTTGTTAAAAGTGATGTATTCAAATAGCATCAATTCCATCTCTTCCATCATTGCAAAAATGATAGATATACTTATCTATCTAAAATTACTGTTTGTATTCCTACCTGAGCGTAGAGCCAACAGATAAATTTAAGATTTATGAAAACACTAATTCGTGACAGAGAGAGAGACAGAAAGATAGACTTGCTTGGGCCACACCAGGCTGTGTACAAGGCTTATCCTGGCTCTGTGCTCAAGGATCACTCCGGGCAGAACTGGGGAGCAATCTGGATGCTGTGGACTGAACCCGGCTTCGCTTGTGTGCAAGGCAGGTGCCTTTACCACCATGTTACCTGTCCAGAACACTAGCTGTATTTTTAAATACGAAGGCACGTTATGTGATCTGTAGCTAAAAATGAGATCTATTTAGAACATTTCCAGTTCCTACAACTTGTCTACTTGGAACCATACATAATATCAAAAGACAAAAACACTTAGTAATCCGAACACAGGGTTTACTGTAAGTAAAAATGAAAGCTTCATTTTAAATTTTTTTTTTAGTTTTTAATTGAATCATACCCACCATCTGACACCCAGCGCCGTGTAATCCCATCAACGGCCAAGACCCAGAGACTATAAAACCCAGCTACCGGAAGAGAACAGCGCAGAGTCTCCTGCCCCTGCGCCTGGCTGTCCTCGCCAGGGCCCCTTGGAGGGGGCTGGGTTGAGTGTTCCTCCCTGCCCCGATCAGGGCTCCGGCAGCCGAAGACCTCCAGAACCAGCCACCACCATGCTGAGACCATTCTCCACACGCATGAAGGTACCGCAGAGGAACAAAGGCATGCGGTCCCGGGGCTGAGATCTCCAAGCCTGCTTGGATCGAGGCTGAGCATCCTCCACCCAGATCCTCCAAATTCCAGTAGGCAGGGGTCACACCCACCATCTGACCCCAGTGCCGTGTAATCCCATCAACAGCCAAGACCCAGAGACTATAAAATCCAGCTCCCGGAAGCGACATCTTATTATCTCATTCTTACTGTGGACAACCTGGCAGGTTACAGAATGTAACCTGCGCACACGGCAGAGTCTGGCAAACTCCCCATGGTGGACCCAATATGCCAAATACCAGTAACAATGATGGGTCTCATTCTCCTAACCCTGAAAGAGCCTTGAATATGGCACATTTTAAAATCTCAGGGCTAGGACGAAAGAGAGGTTACTGGGGCCTGCTCAAGGCAATCGAGGAACAACAGGATGATCATGATCGTGAATTGAATCACTCACTGTGAGATACACAGTTATACAATTGCTCATGACTGAGTTTCTGTCACACAATGATCTAACACCCATCCCTTCCAGTGTACGTTTCCCACCATCAATGTCCCTAGTATCCCTCCCTCCCGCCACCACCAGACAGCCTCTATGGCAGACACCCTCCCTCTCTCACTCTCCCTTTCCCCTCCATGCCCTTCCCTGAGTATTTCCCTCTTTCCCTTTCAGGAACTATGGTTTGCAACACTGTTACAGAAAGGGTATCATACATATGCCGCCCCCCCCCCTTCAGCACTCAGCCCTTGCCCAGAGGGAGGGAACTGTACTCCCCCCCCCCCCCCCCCCCGACCGCTCTGAGGCAGCTTCCAACCCTGCTCCAGTCCTCCTGGTCTCTTTTTTAACTGTTTTTGGATATTATTCTAATATATGTTTCCTTTTTTTATTTTTTTTAATATCCCACAAATGAGTTGAGAGCTTCATTTAGCTAACATTTTACACTGACCTTTTCATTCACACTTTTCTATGTAAACTTAGAAACACATATATAAATAGTAAATTTCTATTTCTTTATATAAAGATACATAACAGACACTTTTCTATAATTTTTTGTTTTATGCATGTTTATATATGTACATGTTTATATATGTGTTATTTTGTGCATGTATATATAAATTATAGAATAAATATGTGCTATATATTAGCACTGTCCTCCCATTGTTCATCGATTTGCTTGAGCGGGCACAAGTAACGTCTCCATTGTGAGACTTGCTACTGTTTTTGGCATATCGCACACGTCACGGTTACCTTGCCAGGCTTTGCCGTGTGGGCACAATACTCTTGGTAGCTTGCTGAGCTCTCCAAGGGGGGTCGAGGAGTCGAACCGGGGTCGACCCAGGTCGACTGTCTGCAAGGCAAGCACCTTGCCACTCACTGTGCTATCGCTCCGCCTTGTGCTATATATTATGCATATATGTTTATATGTGTATTTGTGTGTATATTTACACACACACACCACACACACATCCCCTATGAACCCCAACTTCTTTACCTCTGTCTGCAGTATGGCTGCCCTCTGCTCCTTGGCAGTCAAGGACTCCTTCAGCACTTCGATGTGCTGCTTACTGTCTGAGAACTGATTGGTGAGCGTTTCCAGCTTTGTCTGGAGGGCGAGGAGTTCCGTGTCCTTCCTTGACAGCTCCTGCTTCACCTGCCCAATCTAGGGAAGAAAACACTTGTAAGGGAACCTGAATGAAACCTCCTCTTCTGATTCAGGTCTTTGACAGGTGGGAGCCATAAAACGGGAGACTAGAGGCGGCCTTAGTTTTATGACAGAACAGAACGGATTTTTTGGCACCACCTAACCTCAGATAACTCCCCGGCCACTTAAAAGCTTGGTCGATCGTTTTTTAACTTCCAGTTTTTATTTATTATGTAATCTAACCACTCACTGAAATTCCTTTAAAAAGTGAAAAGAGAAAGGCCCAATTCCATTTTAGGCCTGTGATACAGCAGTACCCACCTGAACGCCACTATACGAATAAAATAGCTTATGTTATTAAGTCAGACCTCTTTAGAATATAAATCGAAATTAGTATAGATGCAATAGAGAAGGGAAAAAAACTAATATTGCTACTGAAAATTAAATTCCGGGGTGGAGAGATAGTACAGCGGATAGGACCCAGTTTCGATCTTCAGCACTGCATTATCAAACCCCAAGTCCCAGCGAGAATGATCTGTGAGTACAGAACCCAGAGCCCAGAATAAGCCCTGAGCATTGCAAAGTAAAGCGAAAGACCAAAATAAAGAAAAGAAAATTTAATTCAATAGCTACAACTGCATTTTAATTTTCTCATTTTCAAGTTTATTTTAAAACCCCTAACTTAAAAAGCAACTTTCAATGTCCTAAAATGTTATAAATATTTATTTTGGGGGGAAAAAATCTTGTAATATTGTTAATTTAGGTGTACTGACCTATAACTTTTTAAAAAGATACCTAAAAAGTTATATCATCTAGATATAGCACACCAACTTGATGGAGAGAAGCATATAATCTAAATAATGCACAAAACCTTATTCTGTAAAAATCTGCACTGTAATTTCAGTTTAAATTACTGTGATAGTAATCCACATATCAAGAGGTATAGGTCATTCTTCCACAAACTTATCTTAAACCAAGAAAGCATTTCAAATATCTCCTATGCATTTCTAATGTTTCCAAGAATTTTTTAAAAAGAACCTTTTATTGTGAAAGTAAGCCAAAATTAGACCAGCTTTTACATTTTTCACATTGCGTTTATAGTAAGGTAAAGGTAAAGGCTCTCCCGTTGATCGTCGATTTGCTCGAGCGGGCCCAGTAACGTCTCCATTGGAGACTTTGTTGTTACTGTGTCTGGCGTATCGAATACTCTCAGTAGCTTGCCGGGCTCTCCGAGAGGGGCGGAGGAATCAAACTCGGGTCGGCCATGTTGGCCGCTTGTAAGGCGAACGCCCTACCCGCTGTGCTATTGCTCCAGCCCCCAGCTTTGCGTTTATAGTACATAACAGTATTTGTTTTTACATTATGTAAACTACCTAGCAAAACAGCTGAGCACTGGAAGACAGATAACTGGAAGAATAACTACTACAAGAAGTCATTTTCAGTAAATCTAATAAAATGAAAAGTATCCTCTTATCTCTAAAATTAAATCTAAAGCATTTTGATGATAATACCCTGAGTTTCAAGGGACAAAGCTTTTTCAAGAAATAGGTAGTATAAAAATTTTTGCTTTAATTAAAATTCCGTTTTTAGGAGGGCTTGGGACAGTGATGGAGGGAAGCAGTGGAGGGAAGCGAGCTCCTTGGTGCAGGGTGTGGCGTGTGGTGCTGGGGTGATGTCCGCATGAAAAGTGTGATTAATGGTAGTTGTTTATTTGTCTTGGGGACACACCCAGGGCCCGGGAGGGGGCTACTCTTGGCTCTGTGCTCAGGAGACCGTATGGGATTGCAGGCTCAAACCCAGGTCAGCTGCATACAATGCAAGCGCCCTCCCGCTGTGCTACTGCTCCAGCCCCTGATCAACAGTATATAAATCTCAGAACCTCAGTAACAGTGATTTTTAAAATAAAAAAAATATTCTGGAGATGAAAAAAATGTTTAAAATTAGACTTTTAGGGACTATTCAAAATCTGTTTCAGCAATAATATTAGCATTTTCCTTTTTTGCATAAAGTCTCTATTTACAAATAAAGTTACTCATTCAACAAGTTTTTCTGTATGCTTATTGCATACAAAAAAGTACTTGAGAACATCAAGGGAAGATAAACGTAAACAGCAGCTATTTTCATTCTATGGCTCCTATTGACTCAGGAGTTGTCACATACTATAATGGTCTTTCATGACATCCTTTTAGTAACATAAATCCACATTATTATAATTTCACCCCAACATATAGTTGGCACTAAAAAATACGCATGCTGTATGAATAAATATTCCGAAGAAATATATTAGCATTACCAACTGCTCAGCTAGAGGGGTAAGTTAAAAATTACTCAAACTCGGGGCTGGAGACATAGTACAGTGGGTAGGGTGTTTGCCTTGCACATGGCCGACCCCAGTTCGATTCCCAGCATCCCATAAGGTCCCCTGAGCACCGCCAGGAGTAATTCCTTAGTGCAAAGCCAGGAGTAACCCCTGTGTATTACCGGGTGTGACCCCAAAAAGCAAAAATAAATAAATAAATTACTCAAACTCCCAGTTACCTATAAAATCAAAACTATAAAAATCTCAGTTTTCTCATCTGCATCTGTAAGTAATCTTCAAGTAATACAATACTGACCACAAAGACTGAGAAAATCAAGAAATCTTAAGTGGAAAGATGCGTTTCAAAGCACCCATTTTCCTTAAAAATCATAAGCAACAGGCTTTGCAGTCATTCACAGGTGAGGATGTGTCACTGAGTAATTATCTATGCAAAATGATTTCTTAATCAGTAATATGGAGGGAGCAAATCCATAAAATAATGCACAGAATGTTTGTCCTGTTGCTTGCTATAGCAAAGAAGTTCATAAGAGCTAAGAAAAAGAAGTTACAGATCAACTTCTCATCCAAAATATGCAAAAGGATTATACACCTAAATATTTCAAAGTACTCTATGCTATAAAGTACTCTGTAAACAGCAAACACAAAATTAGCACATTTTTTTATAAGCTGCATTCCAGTCTTATCCAACAATTATTTTCAGAAGCAGTTTCTTCTGGAACCAAACTGCTCACATAAAAATCAAATTCTGCCCCTAGCTGTGATTCCTAAGCACCACCCTGTTATATCAATTTCCTCATCTACAAACTGGGGGTTATATTGCATTTATCTTAACAGGCTGTAAAAGGCGCTCAAGTGTTACCAATTTCTTTTTCCTTTTCTTTTATATTTTGAACGGGATTTTAATTTCTTTAGCAGAATCCTGAACTACATTGAGCACTATTTTCGACAGAGTACTTTCTTTACCAAAGATGATTTTATGTGGAATTATCTAGTAGATCTGAGTTAGCATGCTATCTATGTTCAAAGAAAAAAAAAAAACCTGAATGGGACTTAAAAAAAACATATACATGTGAGAGGAAAGCACTTCACTAAAACATCTGCATACACTAAAACCTTAGAAGAAAAAGAGAGCAGTGTTAACTTAAATCGACAAATACTCTGTAACAGGAAAGGAACGGAGGGGGGAAAAAAGTTGTGAAGTACCACCCATACGTTGACAAGTGCAGTGAATAACCAGGTATGTCAGACTTCCAGAACACGGTGAGGGCTCACCGCAAACAAAGTGACGTGTGAGTCAAACTGAAGAGGAGTCAGTTGAAGGGCAGAGCAGGCTGGTTAGTGCTAGAATCAGGCAAAGCTGCCAACCACAGAGATGCAAGTGTAAGCCACCCGGACGGACGGACGCCAGAACCAGCGGGCCCCCGCGGTGCATCACTACACACAAAGAGCAAATCTTACGGCAAAGACCTCAGCCTGAAGACCAGCCGCTCTCTTTTTCAGCTCCTCCCCTTGAGCCTCTTTCGAACTTAGTTCCTCCTTCAGTTGCTCTACCTGTCACGACATTGTTAATTCTTTTTTCACTTAGGATGTTAATTTAGCACTTCTCTGCTTTTGAGCCAGAGCAGCAACTGGAAAAACAGTAACTTGCACACACAGCCCAATCTGTTCCCTCTCCAGAAGGCCCTAGTCTCTATTGCATAGGGTTATGAAAATCATCTGAAATTATCAGCAGTCACACCGCCACACATGTTGCTCTCAAACTAGGGTGAAAAATTTCAAACTGATTCAAACTTGAATTTGATTTTGCTTTAAATTCTGAAATTAACATGGAGTTGGTAGTAGGCATGGGAAAGATGCTTAAAATAATAAAAAACCAACTTACGCATGCCACACAGAGAAGTCAGAATCCAGTAACGTCAGTGACTGTATCACTTCTTTAGTTTTCAGTTCTAAGAAACTGATGAACTCCATGGGATATTGAGGGGAGTCCCCACAGAGGCGCTATTTATTTTCTAACTGACATTCTATAATTGCAATGATTTTAAACCTGATAAACTGGTAGCTGTAATAAAATAAAACCCCAATTTGCCTAGTTACAGATCCGACTAAATGACTACATATATATGAAAGATACACTGCGATGGAGTTTTTAAAGGCAGGCTGGCATGTCTCCACGTGGCTCCCGTTTTAAGGTACTTCTACCTGAGTAGTGCAGGAAAGCAACAAGTGCTTCCTCTCTGAGGGCTTTGCATTATCAGCTGTAACCTAGGGCTGGAAAACATGATTTAAGCCACATCGTGGGGAGAGAAGGGAAGTGGGAGGGATTAGAATGGCTTAAGGTTTTGACTTTTAAAATGCTTCACAAAAGGCAGACAATCGTCACGCATAGTAAGAAAAATACATTTGACGGGAAAGCTAATAAGTCATCTCAGAAAATATAAAAACGTTAAAACGGTGACAAGACATATTAGCCTTGGGCAGGTAATTTTTCTCTCAAGCAAAAATTAGACATCAGTATACAGCATCAGTAGTTTTAAGTCTAATTCTGGAAAAGTTCCATTTGAAAGTATTATGCTACAAGCAGTGTTCCCTTAAGTCTGATCTAAAGAAAAGCAATAAAGTTCTTCATGGTCACTAAGGAAGTAAAGCGCCGTATCAATATTACAAATTCCTTTAGACAACATTACCTTGTTTTTCATAAATTTAGAATGACTCCGATAGACCTCCATTTGCTTCATTTCTTCCTCCCGTTCTTCGGTGCTCAAAGCCCCATTAGATTTCAGCATCTGAATTTCCTCTTCCAAGTCTCGAAGTCCACGCTCCATAGAGGAAATTTTTGAGTCCTGAGGAAGGTCGTTGATTTAGTTCTTAAGGCATCCACAGGTATTAAATTTAACATAAAACAAATGCGGAGAAAACTTGCTGCTGAGAACTGTTCTCTTAAAGTTTCCTCTCATTTTATGTTTCACAAATTTCTAATAAAACATCCTGTATGAATAATAATAAAACACTTCTACCTACAAATTTTACAAGGGAACTTGGGGAACACAGCTGGCCAAGGCCCAGCGTCCCAGCCTGAGGGCGATGGCCAGGCGGGGTGGTGCTGAGAGCCAAGAGCGACAGCCAAGAGCTCCAGGGTGCAGGGCCGAGGCGCCATGAGGTGCTGAACCAACAAAGCACATGCCCACACTGCGCGCTATACGCCCAGGCCCTCCACGTTTGTATTTCATCATTTTACTCGTGGCTCTCCTTAAATGTTTAATTTCTGCATCCAAAAGAGGTGATGAGGGTAAGAGAGCTGTAATGATTTACAAAAACTTTATAAATAAATATTGGAGGAAAAGATTTATAAAAATATTTCTTTGGAGCTTCTTGTTTTCTTTTGTTTTGTTTTTGGGGAAGGTGGGCAACCAGTGGTTCTCAGAGGTTACTATTTCTAGCTCTGCATTCAGGAATTCTTCCTGGCAGTGCTCGGGGGACCATATGGGATGCGGGGGATTGAATCTGGGTCCTCAGTGTGCAAGGCAAATGCCCTACCTACTGTACTATAAAATGGTTCTTGATCAAATTTCCTTACTATCGTAAGTCTTACAGCATACAGAAATATATTAAAGGATTCATAAGAACTTTTAGATTTGGTATAAGGAGGGGATATATTTACCCCTGTCTTCCTTTAAAAATATCACAAAAGAAGCTGGATAACAGAGCAGGTCTAAGGCACTTGCTTTGCATGCACCTGATCTAGGTTCAATCCAAGCACCCCAGAAACATGCCCCCCAACCCCCCTGGAGGCAATACAGGAGTAATCCCTGAGTGCAGAGCCAGATGTGAATCCTGAGTACCACCAGATGTGGCCCAAATACCAAAAAAATCAAGATAAAAAATTCTTCCATCAATTTATTCAAACTGAGTTTCATATTTACTCAAAATTAAATACGAAACACAAAAATATACTTAACCAGGACTTTTATTAAACTGCTTAAATTTAGTGGGTCTTATTCAAGCCCTAGGTCCATCAAGAATGAATTGCTTCAATTGTACTATGTAAAATTCATTTTCATTTGTGGGGGAAGTGGGGAGTCTCCCAAGTGGTACTCAGGAGACATGGGGGCTCCATCGACTGCTGGCCACTAAGCCATCCACCAAATTCAAGGACCCAAGGGTGTGATGCTGGTGGGGCCCTCGAGGCTGGGGCTCTGAGAAGCCCAATGTGGGCCTCCAAGACCACACCCAGTTGGTCACAGAGGGAGCCCAGGGGACCATGTGGGACAGGAACTGAGCCCAGGTTGGGAGCACACTCCTGATCTCCAACATCTGTACTATCTCCTAGCTCCTGAAATTCACTTTTAAAATTATGATACATCTGGGCCAGAGAGATAGTACGGGGATGAAGGCACTTGTCTTGCATGCAATTGACCCTGTTTCTCAAAGCACGAGAACGGCTTATGATCCCTGAACATGGTCAGACGTCACTCGAGAGCAGTCAAGAATACAAGAATAACCCCTGAGCACTTTGAGGTGTGCTGCCACCCACCAACACACACACACACACATACACACACACACACACACACACACACACACACACACACACACACAAAATCTTCCTGAAAATATAATACAGGCCCTCAAGAATGATTAAAATACCAAGCATTATGCCTGCAACTACTGTGAAATGAAAGAATATAAAATGTGTCTCCCCTGATGTTAGCTAATAAAAGCAATGAAAGGAAACGGCAGAAAGAGAGCATGTATTTCTAGCACCACCAGCGTTCATGTGAGAGAGCCTCTAAGTTCAGTCTCTAGCTCTACCTCTTAGCCAGTCTCTATGCACCCCCCCCCACCCTTGACTTGCAAGAAACAGGGTCCATCTTCTTCCTATACCCCAGCACTGACAGAAAGGCAGCACTTGACAACGTCTGCACCCTCACTACCGAATAATGTACCACAAAAACCTCACCCCATAAAGGCAGCCTAACTGCAGATCTGAAAACCACAGTGCAGGTACTGACTGTCCCAAAAATCAATGTCCCCAGAAGACTCTGAAATCAACTCGACCATTACTCAGACTAGTTTACTTGAGGTCAGTCATCAGTCAGAAACCTCCTTGGAAATGACTAACCTCAAGTAAACTAGTCTGAGCATGTGTAAATCACTTGGTAAATAAGTTCCTTATCATCATATTACTCCGTATATCCCCTGACCTGGGTCCTCCATCATTTATCAACCAGTACTACTAAAAACCCTCTGCACCATGTTAAATTTCTGAGAGAAGCTCCAGCAGGAACAAAAGGCCAGGAAAGGAATTTCAAAGAGGCCCATCAACCATTCCCAACTCTGCTTCCGTGGCAACCTCGCAAGCAAAAGACTTTTACCTAGGTAGAAGCCCCTTGTGGAGGCAGGCTGGAAAACCCCTATAAAAGCCACCTTGAACAAAAGAAGGGTGCGCATATGATGCCCGAGTCCATGTGCTGCTTGTGCCCACGTGGTCGAGCATATGTGGTGCCTGAGCACCTGTGTCACCCGCATCACCCCTCTTGAGATGTGCACTTTCATGCTACCTAATCCCACCTAATGCTGGGGTGTGTGTAGGGGCTCTCTCTGCCCTTGGAGAAGCCTGCAGTCTCTCTTGAGAACTCTCTCACTTTCTATCTCTCCTTCCCCTTCCTAAGAACCTCCAAATAAAATCTGTTTTCTTACTTTACTGCTCCTTTACTACTGAAATTCTTTTCTGAAAGGTGAGACAAGAATCCTGAAACCCTGGGTAAGGCCTAGGACTGACTTTCCTTTTCTACAAAGAGCAAATCCTCACTCCAACCTGAGTCTGCGGCTCCTCAAGAAATCTGGTGGGTGGGATCAACTCCCACACTTAGAAGACCAAGCAGATGTCAGGTGTGGCTTGAAAGTCACCTGGTGACCGGTGTGTGTGGGGGGAGGGGAAGAGGTGGGTGGGGGGGGGGGGGTTTCGCAACTCCAGCCCATGCTGCACAGGTGCTCACCAGTCCTAGCCTTCCCAGCTGGTCCCGGGTGGCAGAGGCAGATCAGGAGGAAATGACAGTCTCTCTCCTCCCTGCCTCACATAAGCCACTGTGGGGGGACCTACCTACCCCCCCAAAAAAAAACTAGTTACTGGTAAAAGTATTAAAAATCATTACTTTTGATAACCTCCACCCCTGAGTATACTTCTTTCTAATATTCGGTGTGATGAAATGGAATAGGTTAAGCACTTCTGCTTCATATTGCACTATGATGGCTGTTCCCAGAGATAGCACACACTCGTGCTCCTCTTTTATAAAAGGCACACATGAAAGTTTGTGTTACTCTGAGCATGCAAAATAACTTCAAAGCTTCCTTATTAGATTCCGGCTTACCTTCATTTCAATGACAGTCTGGAGAGCTTTTGTTTTGGCTGAATCAGGAGCATTCTCAAATCTCCGATGCATCTCCTATGTGAGAAGCAAAAAAGAAAGTTGGTATCCTCCTGTTCATTCTCTTCATTTTTTTTCTCAAAGGTGAAACAAAAGGAAGGAGAGTAGCTATGAGCAAAACATGATGACTTTTTTGGTTCTGCTGACACTTTCCCTGTGGATCCAGGAACGAGAGGCTGCATTCAGATTAATCCACCCAGGCAAGCTGTGAACACTCCATGTCTTTGTAGATGGAGCTATTTAAAGTTAATCAAGAGAGGGTTCTGTCTCCACAAGAGTCGAAGACATACAATCAGAGCCTCAAAGAACACAAATCGAGAAATCTTTCCCTTTTCAAAGGAAAATAAAAGCTATCACAGTTTTCATCAAATGAGACTCCTGAAACCACCTGTGCTGGCAAAGGCCAGCCCCTCCACAGCACCCACCCCCAGAGGAGCAACCGCCTGGCGACCTGTGATGAAAAGCTGGCTCCAGTGGGGCTGCAAGCAGAAAGGAAAAGATACGGCAAACGAGGAAGTTTCCTACATGATCAGGCTTAGCAAATGTGAAGAAGGAAAAAGAACATTTTTGGTTGCTTTGTTTTGTTTTGCATCTAAAGTTGAGTGAGTTTGGGATAAGGAAGGAAAGAACGACTGGTCCTAATACCAAGATGAGGGTTTTTAAAAATTACCGGGACCAGACCAGCTCGAGCTGTTTTCTTGTCAGATTTTTGTCCATGTCTCAGAGGTAATCGGTCATTACTTCCAAAAATGCCTTGAGACACCCTGCTCGTGACCCCAAAGCATACACAGATAAATACACCAACGGAACAGCACTTGCCCATAATGAAAGGAATGCATGACACTTGACACCCTTTCGCCTAATTCATTCTTGCCCAGCTGAGAAGAATGACTGGAAGGAAGTAGAAACCAGCAATTCACTAGGCAACCTCAGAAGCAGTCCCAATGACTGCACAAACATTTTTGAATGCAGCCCGTCATTTCAACACCAGCAATTTCTGATCGATCCACACCCACTATCTGCAGCTACTGTAGATGGCACAAACCACTACCAAGACACACCAACCTGCTGCTAGTGCTGTGTGCGATTCCTGCTGGGAATTCTCCTGGTATGTGTAACAAACCATCCAACTCTACATGCCCAAGACTAATAAATCTCAATGGCAACCCAATGCCGCTCCATTTTTCCTGTTATTCAAGTCAAACACCCTAGCCTTCTCAGTGATTTCCTTCCTCTTGCAAGTCATAGCCAAAACAGTCAGGAAATCCAGTTCATTTCAAAACATCAGAATCTCAAGCACATCTTCCATTTCGACTTGCCACCACCTAGAATAAGCCATTAAACAACAAAAATACCTTTAATCCAACAACAACTACAACTCCCTACCCTTCATTTGGAATGCCAACCATCTTATTCTCAATAGTACTTTCAGAGTGGCCCTTTAAAATAATAATTTGCGGGGCTGGAGAGATAGTACAAAGGGTATGGTGCTTGCCTTGCATGTGACTGACCTGGGTTGATCCTCAGTTTGATCCCTAAGATGGTCTCCATAAGTGAGTCCTGAGCACAGAGCCAGGAGTAAGCCCAGGTACGGTCCCCAAATACACACACACACACACACACACACACACACACACCATGCATGCGCACACACACACACACACAAAGAAGTGTTGACGAAAAACTAACAGATCATTTGAGGGTCAGAGAGATAGTGCAGAGGTGGTAGGAATGCCGACTGGTTCAGCCCTTTTGGAAAAGAGTATGGATGATTCTCAAAAAATTGAGCTCCCATTTGACCCAGCAATACCACTCCTGGGAATATATCCCAGAAAGGCAAAAAAGTATAGTCGAAGTGACATCTGCACTTGTTTGTTCATTGCAGCACTCTTTACAATAGCCAGAAGCTAGAAAAAACCTGAGTGCCCTGGTGGAGGGATGGGTATTTGATCATTGTATAATCGAAACCCAAGCACAAAAAATTGTAAATCTACAACTGTACCTCATGGTGTTTCACTAATAAAAATTTAAAAAAAAAAAAAACCCTGAGTGCCCAAGAACAGATGACTGGTTAAAGAAACTTTGGTACATCTACACAATGGAGTACTATGTAGCTGTTAGAAAAGATGAAGTCATGAAATTTACATACAAGTGGTACTACATGGAAAGTATCATGCTAAGAGAAATGAGTCAGAAATAGAGGGATAGACATAAAAAGATTGCATTCATCTGGGGGACATAAAGTAACAAAATAGGAGATTAATACCAAAGAATAGCCAAGATCAGTACCAGGAGGATTACTCCATGGCTTAGAGGCCAGCCGAGCATGCTAGGGGAAAGGGCAGCTCAGATAGAGAAGGGAGCACCAAATAAAGGGTGTTGGGAGGATCCTCCCAGGATGGGAGATGCATGTTGAAAGTAGACTATGTACCAAACATGATTGCCACTCAATGCCTATTTTGCAGACCACAACACCCAAAAGGAGAGAGAGAACAAAAGGGAATGCCCTGCCACAGAGGCAGGGTGGGATGGGGGGGGGGTGGGGGGGTGGGAGGGATACTGGGATCCATGGTGGTGGAAAATGGGCACTGGTGGAGGGATGGGTATTTGATCATTGTATAACTGAAACCCAAGCAAAAAAATTTGTAAGTCTACAACTGTACCTCATGGTGTTTCACTAATAAAAATTAAAAAAAAAAAAAAAAGAGATAGTGCAGGGGTTATGGTGCTTGCCTGCATGCAGCAAACGGCTGTTAGATCCCTGGCACTGTATATGGTCTTCTGAGTTCCATCTTAGTTATGGACTAAGCCTTCAGCACAGAGTCAGAACTGAGTCCTAAGCACCACCAGTTGTGTTCCCAAAAGCCAAAAAGTAAAATTTCTTCTTAATTTTGAAAATCTTCTCATGGATCCCAGATGATTCAATGTTGAGCTCATACTTTTAGTCGTCTAACCACTGTCCTCTTATGTCATGACAGACTTCCTGCTGTTCCTCAAACATGCTGGACACAATTTAATGCAAAAGGACCTTTGCACCGGAAGTTCCTGTTGCCCAACTCTCCTTCCTGGGATAGTACAGGAAGACATATCTCTTTCTACCCTTGTCCCAAATCTCTCGTCTGTATTATTAGGTTGATCAAATTATGAAAATCACAGTTATTATGACAAGAAATTATTGCTGTTTTAGAGATGCAAACTAAAAAGGACAGAGGCTAAAGGTGTCTATCACAGGAAGTTGCTTTAAAATCATTAGTAAAGAAAAATTTTTAAAAATACATAAAACAAATGGGCAAACTTTTAGTAACTGGTGTCCGAGTGATGCGCAAATGTAAATTCATAAGTTATTATACTTTTGTGTGAGTCTAAAATTGTTCATTATGTGCTGGGGTCGGAGAGACAGTACAGAGGTCACAGCACTTACCCTGTACAGGGATGACCTGAGTTCAGTTGCCAGCACCACCCTGGCAGGAGTGATGCCGAAGTCAGAGTCGGGGAGTAAGTGAGGCCTGATCACCACTGGGTGTAGCCCAAAACCCACACCCAAAATTATAAATATGTTCTTTATCTTAAAGACAGCTCAATGGGGGGCTGAAACGATAGCACAGCAGGTAGGGTGTTTGCCTTGCACATCGCCAATCTGGGTTCAAGTCCCAGCATCCCATATGGTGGCCTGAGCATCGCCAAGAGTAATTCCTGAGTGCAGAGCCAGGAATAACCCCTGAGCATCACCCGGTGTGACCCAAAAAGAAAAAAAAAGAAAAGACAAGACAGCTCAGTGGGCTGGAGCTCATACACTGCATGGAGAAGGTCTGGTTCAATCTACGCACTATAAGGTCCCATGAGTACCACTGGGAGTGACGCTGAGCACTGAACAGAGAGTAGACCTTTACAAAAAGAGTTTCAGTATAATCTAGTCTAAAACAAACAACAAATAACCTGCTTGTCCTTCCCCCCTTTCTTCTTCTTTTTTATTTTTTGGCTATATTCCTTAATATATAATTTGCTATGTTTAACGTGGTTCCTTTTCATTGACTATCTGTAAGAACATACTTTACGAGGGCACAGGGATCAGGGGATCTTGGTTTCATTCACTGATGAACTCAAAGAACAGTTGCTTGTATGTCAAATGCTTAATAGATATTTAAAGAATGAAAGCTCAGGCTGGAGTGATGGTATAGCAGCAGGGAGGGGAATACTTGCCTTGCACACAGCCGACCAGGATTCGATCCCTGGCACCCCATAGGGTCCCCTGGGCACCGCCAGGAGTGATTCCTGAGTGCAGAGCCAGGAGTAACCCTGAGTGCCACCAGGTGTGACATCGGAACAAAACAAACAAAAAAAGAATGAAAGCTGCAGGTATCAATTATAAAGTGGCTTTTTCAAGAAGGCCTAAGAGGGAATCTTCTCCTTCCTACTCCTGCACTGAATCACATGTATGATGTGCAGAGCCCTCTTGTAGTACTTACTGCATTCTATCAGGAGTAACTTCTCTAACATACCAGACTGTGAACATTTTAAGGGCAAAAACTGCTCTTAGTATATGCTAGAAGCAGTCTGGCATACAAGTAATCACTAAAATTATTTCTTCTCCGCATCTGTTCCTCTCTTGTTGTATGTAAGAATAAAGTAACAGATGAATAAATTACTAGTTTCCATCTTTTCAACCTATTTCTAAACTAAATGGCTGTTTTCAATCCTTTTCATTTCTGACCTCCATCCATCTAGTAGCTGACGTTCCTTTCCTATTCCAAGTTCCATCTAGAACCTGACTTTCTTTTCTTACTCCGTCTTAACTTGAGAGCTAAAGGAAAAATAGTTTTACTTTTTTGGGGGAAAGGGGGGAGGATCACTCCCAGCTGTGCTCAATTATCACTCCTGCACTCCTGGCTCAGGTATTACTCCCGGAGATGCTCAGGAGAATATACGGGTACCAAGGACTGAGCCCAAGTTGGCTGCATGCAAGGCAAACGCCCTAACCCAATGTGCGATCTCTCCAGCCCCTATCTTTACATTTTCTG